AAACCATAATTTGAGTCAACTGATTTATATTTCGTGGCTATAGTTATTGAAAAATATTTTTTTCAATTTCAATTAGAAAAATGTGATAGTATCTAGATAATCATGGAAATGCTGCAACAAGGTCATTTGATACTTCCGTAATTTGTTTGTGTGCATCTGTAACCAAACCAACTAGTACATTGTTATATTAAAATTATAATAATAATTTAAAGAAATAATAATAACCCGCGTTACTATCACTCTTAGTATGTAGAATTGTTTGGGTATAAAACTAGACAATATTTTAAATTAATTTCGTGACTGAAATTATTATATTATTTTATGTATAAATTGCTTTGGCTATTTTAGGTTTCTCAATAAATATCTTGCCATTTTTTTCCCTGCCTCCCTATAATTAGAGAGCAAAGTTTTTTTTTTTCAAATTTTATGTATTTACTTCTGTCAGCATTACTGACTTTGCAGTTCTTTTGAGGTCTTAACCACTAGCGAATTCAGGATTTCATTTTGGGAGGGTTCAGCCCGAAAGTATTTTTTTTTTTAATAAAATGATAACTACTTTGGAAGAAAAAAAATAAAAAAATAACTACCTATACGAAACGGTGTTTGAGTGATTCTTGAGGTTATGATTACACAAAAAAATTGTTTTGACTTCCTTGCCTTCACATCATGTGATATTGATTGACCAGTTTCTCTAAGCAGCTCTTTCTTATCAACGCGTTAGTACTCTGATCGCAGATCACTCCAGTAATTATGTGGAGAATTACTTTTTTCCAATCTTCCAGTACTCCTTTCAATGGTGCTGATTAGTATCGCGGTCTCGCAGGTGAGATTTTTCGTAATGTTAATATCTTTGAAAGGGAGAAGAAAGCTCTGTTTTAACTTGTGGTAAGCTGGTATATTTCATTTTTAATCTTTTATTGATATAAACCATAAAAGATAGGTGACAATGAGTCTTCGTTTTGAGTTTTTTGACAAGGACAAATTGATTTTAAGGATTTAGAATAAAGGATGAAAGTTTCGAGAAGGTATATTCATCGTTTTATAAGTGGTTTTAAATAATGTGCAGTATGAGAGATTTTATCGAGTACCGGATATTGATTTCAAAAAGTTAAAAAAAAAATAATAAGTTCTTTTTAATCCATAGTGCCGTAAAACGAGTTATGGGCTGCTTGTAGTAATAATCGTTTTTTTAATTTTAATTTTAATTTATTAATAAATGAAGTTTTCTCAAAGACATATGAGTAAAATGCGTGTTATCAGATAATTGAGGTTATCGAGAGTCGGCAATATTTTCAACATGACTCCCCCATTCAAGTTAACGACATAGTTATAAAATGAACATGGATTAACTTTAACAACTTTCGATTTCCCCTTCAACACAATAAATTGTGTCAATATGGAATAGTTGACATTGTTCTATATTTTACTGGCTTTGCCGAATTCTATTTAAACAACTAAAGCCAAATATATATGTATTCGATAAATTCACAGCTTAAGGGGATCTGTCATTCCTCTGAACTGATATATTTTCTTTACAAAAATATTTAATAAACATAAAATCTCATAATTTTTACTAATATCGGTATGTAATGATATTTCTGACCACAATTTTGGATTCAGAATTTTAATTTTTTAACCAAGCGAATTTTTTTTTTCTCAATGAAGTGGTTTCACAAGGAATGACTATTGGTACAAGATCCACTTGAAAACGTAATCGTTTCTGTGTGAAGAAAAACAACAAATTATTGTTGAGTTCAAATATTTCAACATTACTAGCGTGTTGTAATCACATATAGAATCCATTCTGGGAGGGGATGGGTTATCGCAATTTTGAAATTTATGAAATGTGATTAAATGGTTGCAGAATAAATGATGAAGTTAAATTTCAATACGTCGAATGTGAATGCTTTCAGATTGATTGATGTAATTTATAATAGAACATCAATTAATACGGCCATTATTTTTCTCTTTTCAATCTTCATACAAAAAGGGATACCTCCAAAATAAAAAAATATTGCAGAAAAAAAAATTCAAAAAATGCTTGAAAGAATAAATTATGTCAGAAATCTGAAATAGAAAAAAAAAATTAAAATATTTGAAAGAATAAATTTCTGACACGCTAGTCAGCCTTCTTCGTTGATGTTCTGCAGTGTAAATTAACTTTTTAATAAATATTTTTTTTAGTCATACAATAATTTTTTCAAAAATTGATGTTAAAAATTATATGGGAGGCATCCATTTTTGTTAATAAAGGCATAATTCAAAATATGCACATAACCTGAATGTTTATTGTAAATAAATATATTTAAATTTCACAAAGCGGTTTGTTACTGAAATTTACATTTTTTTGGTTAATATCAAATTTTGATATTTTCTCCAATATATGAGGATTAATTTACGTATATTGTCTCTACGATTATATTATGATAAATAAAATAAGTATAAAATGATCTTTTTATTTGCTAAATTCTTTATGTATAACCATCAGATATAAACTGGATATTTACGTATCAAAAATTTAAATCTAAGATACCAAGCAAAGTAGTAAATGAATGTAAACAACACTTTACCTTTGTGGAAACAGCTGCTAAAACTTAACAATGAACCTGATGCAACGTAAAATCCGGTGCTTTCATGAATTAGGTGCTCACCTGTTTTCTTCACAGCAAATGTTTTAAACGTTAACAATATATACATTTATTTCTATCTAGGTTATAACTTAGATTATTAAAATTCAATCATGCCCCCATTAAACTCCTTAATGAGTACAATAGGCAATTATACAAAAATTAAGAATCTCGTATACTGTCACAAGCAACGAACACATATTCCGTATTAAACATTGTCACAAACTTTAACCAGTTTTATTTTGTTTATTTCAAATATTGGCTTTTTCCTCTTTATTTTCAACAACAAATAAATTATTTAAAACAAATATGTTACAGTATAGTATATCTACGGGAGGGGGGGCTTTGGGCCTGAGGCCCTCCCAAAATGGTAAAATATAACCATGGTTTATGGGAAAAAATTATCTCTTAAAGTATTATTGTTCGTGTAATTACATTTAAAAGGACTTAAGGAATCACTTAAACACCATTTCATATAGGTAGTTAGTTCCTTTCTCTTTTCCAAAAGTAATTATCGTTATTTTAATGCAAAAAAAGGCTTTCGGGCTGAAGCCCTCCCCCAAAATTAAATCCTGAATCCGCTAGTGTTATAGTATGTTATTGAAGAGGTGAAGATGAAAAAAGAGACTCCAAAATTAGTATATCAGTAAAACAGGTTGAATTAACATTGAAAATGAAGTGATGTAAAATTAAGGTTTACAATATTTTATATTTAAATATAAAATATCGACTAAACATTTTGGAGGATTTATCGCGGCAAAAATTTTTCCGTAAATATCCAGTGCCGGCCTTAGGGTGGGGCAATCGGTGCAAAGTAGATTTTGTATTTTCACGAAATGCACCATTAGAGTGGCATAAAGAATAATTAAGAAGTTTAATATGTAATTACTTTAAGCTAACATTAGCGAGGTACTACCAATTCTGTTTAGAGAAACAGTAGCTATGTTTTCTTTACCAATTCGATGAACTATGTCCATTTTTGGCAGCTAACTTTAAACCATCTAGTGAATTTCGGGAGCGCTTTAGATTGAACGAGTAATAAATTTATTTTTGATAAGTAATGATATAAAATTTGCATCTACTTTAAGCCTTTTTGCGAAGAGTTTCGATGATTACAAAAACCTCCTTCTCCATAGCTGGGTATATTACTCACTTTTAGACAATTTTCCAGAAGGGTGCCAGTGGAGGTTAGGTTGGCAGCAATCAGCACATCTTGATTGGAGGTGTCCTCCACAAAGAACTGAGCAATATCATTTACAATAAAAGCAAATGATTTATGATGATTATGAAAGAATATATGACCTTATATCTTTCGAATACAAGTATCTTTGTATTTAGAGGCTACTCTATTAATCAAAGGATGATTTTTAGCGAATCTTTGAATCTTGTCAGAATATTTTGATACTCATTTGTAGTAGTAAGAAAACATACAAGTGCACGCTGCAAAGATGTTTCACTATTTGGAAGGGGGACATCTATCAATCTATCTTTTAATTAATCAAGAAACTAAGGATTTTGATAAAATCTAGATGGAATTTAGACTTTTTCAAGTTAATTGATATAACTCCAGAAATTCATTGAGATTATTTTGATCTTTGCAAGTGACAGTTACATCTTCTAAAAATATATTTAAACTTACTTTGGCCCTTCAATTCTTACTTTCATATCCATATAGAAATATTGTAAATCTTAGTACTACATCATTTCCTTTCACAGGTGGATCTAGAGAGGGAGGGGGGCTTTCGGGCTCCCCCCAGTCATCCCAAAATGGTAAAATATAACCATTCCTCACGAAAAAAGTATTAAATAATTATCTCTCAAAGAATTATTGTTCGTGTAATTACATTTAATGAGACATAATCACTAAAATACCATTTCAAATAGATAGTAAGGATCTTTCTAATTCATCCAAAGTAATAGTCGTTATAGATATAAAAAAAAAAAAAAAATTTGTGGGCTGAAGTTACCAAAATTAAATTCTGGAACGCTTGTGCTTCCTTTTTAATTTTAATTCAATCTGTTTTACCAACATGTTATTTTATTCTTATTAAATCTGTTATAAGTAAAATGTGTGCTTATTTCATCACAATTTAATAACCATAAAATAACATATTGGTAAAACAGATTAACATTAAAACTAAGCGAGGTTATTTATATATAAAATAACTATTACAATTGTTTTCTCAACACCACTAGCCATGTATTATTTTAACATTTCAAATAATTTTTTGACAAAAAAAGATACCAAACCGAACAGATAATATATTATCCTCTTGTTAATAATAACTTACCAAAACTTTAAGAATAAAATATAACAGATGGAATAGCCTGAACGAAAAATTACATTAGAGCATAAGGTTTTGAGATTTTTTGGGCCTCAGGTATATTCAGAAATACAAACCAAAACAGGTATTTAAAATATTTTGTCTTTTTATTATGCATTCAATCAATATTGAATGGGAAATTATATAGTATACAATACACTCTAATAAATAATTTCATATATTCACAAAATAAAAACATAAATATTTTAAAAAACAATAGGAGATCTAATTAGATTTCTAAGTTTTCAAAGTTCTTTAGAATGTATGGTATTAACAATCATAAATAAACTTTTTTATACATTAAAAATGTATGCACATATTTACATAATTTTATCAATATAGTTCATTTATAGTTTTATAAATGTTTTCACATTGTCGAATACTGTTTATTTTGAGTTTGCGAGCTCATAGTCTTCTGTTCTTTTCTTTGAGAAACAAGCATTGAATGCTGTATCTCCAGCACCGAAGTTTTCCCCATCTTCCATTGATTCAGGCATTGCTTTGTTGAGGGTTTCGGGGAGAAACAATGTGAAGAACCCAGAAGTGAATGCAGCCAAAGCAAACGTTATTGTAGGCAAACTCCTATCAACAGAATCCTAAAAAAAAAAAAAAATAATGAAGAAAAAGTAAAAATTAGTTCCTCATAAAAGGAAAAATTACATGTCTTTCATTTAATTTCGAAATAGGATTATTTATTAAATAGCAATTATTACAAATAATAAACAGAAATGGCAAGATCTGTGCTCAAATACGGAAATATAAAGGATGTCCCAAAATTAATGCAACATTTAAATGAAATATAAAACACATTTTTTACTTTCACTTACGTATATATGTAATATATAGTAAGGGTAATCGAGAAAATTTTTAATCTGAGTTTTCAACGGAAATACACGTTTTGGGATACCCTGAGTCCAAATAACCAAGTCCCGAAAAATGGTCTGTGTGTCTGTGAATACTCTACCTCGAAAACAAAAAGTCGTACGAAGCTGATATTACATCTTTAAGATAGGTATATGCCTTAGATGTAGCTGCAACCTTTTCCTTAAAATCGGCTAACGGGATGTGCTACTTTATATCAACGCTGAAACACATTTTTACAATTTTCTCAAAAACGGCTGTAACGATTTTGATTAAACTCGGTTTATCATTATATAATTAAGTGGTCTTTAATATCACTTAGGTCTTATCTTCGTTGATGTCACATTACAGGGCTTAAATGCCCAATGTTCATATACGTCTTCCTCTAAAGTACCTTTAATATGGTTTATTTAAAAAAGTTAATCGTTTCACATCATTCAGAGTTACGAAAAAATGCTAAATTTAACTTTTGAAAGAATTTTATAAGTTAATAAAGGAGAAAAAATAAAAATGCCGAAAAACCTGCGTTGCTATCGACTGTAGCGCCTAAACGAATGGACCGATTTCAATGAAACTTTGCTAAAGTAATTTTCTCTACACCCTTTAAATTTATCCATATAACATACTTCAACGAAAAGAAGCTGGAAAAAAAGTTAAGAGGGATGGTAAAATTAAATTACGAATAACTCAAAAAGTATACTTTTTTGTGGATATTGTGATAAGATGATGCAAAGGTATTTAAATATCTAAAAAAACGAAAAAAGTTTCATCGAAATCAAAGCACTATTAGTAGAGATATCGCGATTTTAAAATATTTTTGGTTTATTATTACTTTCACTTACGTATATATGTATTATATAGTAAGGGTAAATATTGCGATCGAGAAAATTTTTCTTTGTCAATTTACAGTTGATAGTTTAGGGTTAGTAAAAATGGAGCGAACATGTTATAGGGTTATACGAGCGAACATGTTAACTGTTACAACGTGTTTTCATTGTTGAACAATATTTTAAAAATAATAAAATTCTTGCACAGTTCGAACATTTCCTACAAAATATGGTCCGAATATTGATTTAACTTCATCAACTGTGAAGAGAGTGATTGAGAACTTCAAGCAGACTGAATCAATTGGTGATGTTAAAAACACTGATATTCTAAAAACAAGCCGTTCAAGTATCAATATGAAAGCAAGATGAGTGGATGCAAGACTTTCATTAATTTCTATGTATTGTTCAACAATAAAAACACGTTGTTCTCTCGTATAATTCTCCATTTCTACTAACCCTAAACTATCAGCTGTTAAATTGACAAAGAATAAGAAACAAAAGAAGAAATAACTGTTTTATTTTTCATTTACATCTTGCGTTAACTTTGGGACACCAATTGGGAATTGAGTTAGAAGGTGGAAATGTTAATTGAGCTCTTCCCACTCTCTGTCATTTTTTTGATATAATAAATTCTAGAAAAATTTATATAAGTTTTAAAAACTAAACATGAGAAAGAAATCAAGCAGTTCAAATGATTTTAAATTATATTCTGTTCTCTCAGATAAGCATTAAAGAATCATTTTTCACCACTTTTACTTAACGATATCTGTCACATGACGATGACTTGTAAAGAAACTAGACTTTCGTAGCACTATGATGACAATTCTACAATATGAGGTCTCTTGATCATATTCTTTTTACCAAGAATATATTGAGATGAAAGGCTACGAACTATAAAGTTTGTCTAGATACGAAGTTATATAAAGTTTGATTAATAATCAGTGGAACTTGGTGATGGTTTAGGAAAACGCACGTAAAATAGCCGTCATCCTTTCGCGTCATGAATCTGCTGATGACTCATCCTTGAATCTCGTAATAGTCCAGTTCCTCCCAACACTATTCCGTCTCTTCTGCATAAAATTATAAAGAATCGCTACAATGATTATAATACACTAGCGGATCCCGGATTTGCCATTGGGGGGGGAGGAGAGCTTCAGCCCGAAAGATTTTTTTTGTTATATATGTAAAACGAGAATTACTTTGGAAGATAAAGAAAGAAACTAAATAGCTAGATGAAATGGTGTTTAAGTGATTGTTAAAGTCCTATTACATGTAACAATAACACTTTTTGAGATAATTTTTTTAAGACATGGTTTTATTTTACCATTTTTGGGAGGGAGCTTCAGGCCAAAAGCCCTTTCCCCCGTAGATCCTAGATCATTATTTAGAAAAGCGTATGAATTCTACATGATATTTTGCCACATCTTCTTTTCATTTTAAAATTGTAGTTTAAGAGTTGTATTTGTGGAATGATTAGATGCTTCACATCTAAAAAAAATCGTGAGGAGCAGAACCCCTTCATATTTCCCCCTTATGTTTGTTTGGAAAGTAACTTGATTGCTTAAATAATGCTAGTCTGAAAAAAATTAATATAAATTTAAAATTACGCCCAGAAAAAATTCTTCCTGTTTTTGAAAATTTATAGATTCCTTTCTGAATATAAGTTATCAAAATGGTGAAGAGGGGAGGGAGAGGAAAAAAATCAGTTGAGACCCCCTAAATGGATTTCTCTAACACTAATTCAATCTACAACCAACTAACTGAATTCGGATAGACTGTTAGGGTCCGCAAAACTTTAAATAAACTCGTAAAATCCATAAACAAAAATGGCGGAACTGAAAAAAAAAATAGTAATACCCATAAAAGGCACTTCTTTAACAAATTCTTAATTATAAAAACATTGTATAAAATATAATATAAAAATGTTCAACATTTTGATTCACTTAGGACGTGATTTAGAGTTACTTAAAACTTTTAAAAATGGCGATGTGAGGAAAAAATTGCGATCCCTACAATTCACTTCATCAATGGCAACACTCAATTCAAGTTGTACAGTAAGTGAAAGTTGTGAGATTCTCACGCATTATAATTTTTAAAAACATGTTTCTACTAAAAAGAGTTCTCTATTGAATAACTCTGAAGTAATGATGATAAAATCTTAAGATAAAATGATATCGTCAAAGTAGCTTTTGGTGAATCAGACATTCCTTGGAAAATATCAGGTAATATGTACTTCAAGCAAACATAGGAGAAAAAAAAAATTAAAATCGTCATCTAATAAAACTGAAAATTTCGAAAGCCTTTCCAAAATGAAAAAAATAATTTTTTTTTCATTGGTTCATATTTGTTTATGCATGAGTGATCTAAGCAAAATACGTAAACAACAATATATTCTCTTTTTATATTGCAATGGATGCATTTTATCTCTGAATGAATTATTTTTCTTGTAATTACCACTTTTTTTTTTACGTTCAAGGACCAGTTAAAAACATCATAGCATCATTCCACATAGTTTTTTTTTTGTCTACCCATGTAATTACGCTTATTAAAACGAAATAAAATAAAACAAGTCTCCTCCCCTAAAATCAATTCCTGGATCCACTACTGCTTGTGAAGCAGCTACGACCGAAATAGGTATGAGGCTTCAAGCATATGCGGTTTAACGACCGCTAAATTCCTCGTATATTAACGAGTCTGCATGTGCTATGCACTAGCGGATCCAGGATTTAATTTTGGGGGGGGGCTTCAGCCCGAAAGCGGTTTTTTTCATAAAAATAACGATAATTACTTTGGAAAAGATGAAAGAAACTAACTACCTGTATGAAATGGTGTTTAAGTGATTCCTAAAGCCCCTTTAAATGTAATTACACAAACAATAATACTTTAAGAGATACTTTTATTATATTTTTTTCGATAAAACATGGCTATATTTTATCATTTTGGAGGGGGGGAGGGGGCTTCAGCCCGAAAGCTCCCCCCGTAGATCCGCCCGTGGTGCTATGTAGAGAACTTAATGCTTTTTCAATTTGAATGGCATTCAATTAATGGTAAGTAATGCGTTTGTTCGTGAAAAGCGCAAATTACAAAGTATCAGGAAAAAATCGACGAAGTTCTTGCGAAGTAAGCACTCCACTTGCTGTCTCTTTACACATTAAAATTGCTGGTCCTGCATTAAAATTTATGGCAAATTTATTTTACTTAAATTTTGAGAATTAGAATGTTATTTTCGATTAAATAAATAGTTTGGACTATGAGTTAGGAGTCGTGGACAAAATTCTGACAAAACTGGAAAAATACGCTGTTTTTCATGTAATATAAATTTCGTTTACTAACTTCAAATTCAGATTCAGTATCCCAAAAACAAACAGAACATCTCATAAATTGGGTGATTGTTTTTTTTTCTACATGCAACTAGCATTTAGCTGGACTAATTAATTAAGTGATTTTGATACCACCAGTTTTCAAAACGCCATCAGTTACTCAAGGTGAATTCTCTTTTTTTTATGGACACACATTACATTGTATAATTTTCTCATCAGTCAGCCATCAGTTTTCTCTTTTAATAAAGCATCACATTTCGCTACTTAAGTCAATTAAAATTTTCATATATAATAATATTAATAATGCTTTATTTATTCTGGGACGAGTCCCTTTAGAATAATACAGAGAAACAAAAATGTGGGCTAAGGAGCCTAAGAGATACATAAACAAGAGTATAGTTTGATTAAATAGTAAAAAAAAAAAATAAAAAAAAAATATTTAGAGAAATTATAAGTTACTTTCATTAATAATATACAATTTAATATACATAAACGTCTTAAAACGAACTACCTGGAGTTACGTGTCCAGAGAGTTATCGACAGGATTTCCACTTTGGTGAAAAAGTTCTCTTTTTAGGAAAATTCCAAAGTTGGGAGGGATAAAAATGGAAAAACAATTTTTATCAGTCAAAGCTTACTTTGAGGATAGTTTAAACTATTTGTTTGATAGTATTGGTAAAACAGACATAAAACGAGTAGTTATGTAGTTTATTACGTATTATTTTATATATTATTGGGCGAAAGAAATTTTTAATTTCCATATGAAGGAAAAAAGGAATAATCTGACTGACCATGTGGGGAAAAAAAACAAAAAAAAAAACAACAATGTGAAAATGGTTGTTATGGAGTTCATTACAACCTCCGAAATCTAATAAAACGTTATTAGTTTTGGACTGTCTACCTAAGCTCCATCAGTTTCGGAATGAAAAGTCTTGAGTTAATGCATTCTCAGGAATAAAAACAGCACATAACCAGTTTACTGCTCATTTTTTCCAGGTTAAAAGGGAATCGAATAAACATAGATAGAATAGAAACTTATTGTTGTAGGCTCAATAAGCTGTCTTTGGATACATACATTTTTACCTACACTTAAAATTTAAAACAGGATTTGTTGGAACGTGCTAATTTGAAAAGTACCAATCCAATCTGAATTATGATATTTTTGGTTAGGTAAACTGTTTATTGAAGAAAGCTTTAGGCTTCGTAACATCACATTACTTACCATAGGAAAGGAGTAATAAAGTTAAGCCAGTAACTATCGAGAAAAAATTGAAGCACAATTAGGCAAGGGAAAAACAAGACAAAAAAGACTAAGAGGGATTAAACTGAAATGACCTGGTCAGAGAAGAACATCATGGAGCCATTGACAACTCAATTAATCAAAAAGATATTCTGCATTAGCTACTAGAGTTTCTTAATTATACAAATGCACTAAGCATTCTACACATTCCCTTAAATTAAAAACATGCTCTCTCATTATTGTATTGGAAAATCTCAGACTACCAAATTTCAGTAAGATAGCCAGAATCAAAGTAAAACTTCTTCAAAATAATGTAATACTCTCTATAGTTTTGCCCATCACTTTTTGGGAAATTTAAAAAGTTACCTTAAAATTGATTTTAGCTTTTTATAATAAAGCAACTGAATGATTGGCTCTAAATGAAATACTATTTAATTATAAAGTAATTTACAACAGCTTAAGAAATTATTTTTATCACAAAATTAAAGTATAAAAATTAAATTATAAATCACTTCTCTTGTCTAGTTAAGTAACGTAAATACAGTGTTAGTTCAGTAAACATTTCTCTCTTTATGCCAAACATCTTATAGAAGGTGAAAGTGTGCAGAAAAATGCAAATAAATTTTAAAATAAATTCTATTTTAATAAATTGATATATTTGTCAAGAAAAATAGCTTGAGAAAATTAATGGGGGCTTGACTGCTGATGTTTTGTGATTATTTTTTGTTGGGGATCAGTTATGGATAATTCCCTCCCCTAAAAATAACCATTATGATCTAAAATTATTTCAAACAACAATATTGGGTATGATTGTGAATTTATTTTTAAAATCAAGTTTATATACACATATTTTAAATAAAATAAAATGGCAATTTTTCATTACTACCATAAAGAATTTATTTGGGTTTGGCTTTGTAAAAGTATATGATTGTATTGTGAAATCCTGACTTAATAGATTGACTTTTTCTCTACTAATACTGAAAATGTTTTTTTTTATCTACAGTCATAGAAGTAATACAAAGTTATAAATATTGACTATAGTAGCAAAATCAGGGTAGATCCTCAGTTTAGCACCTAACTAATTACACTTTTCACAGACCTAAACTTTGAAATACATATTTGCAAATATTGATCATATTTATCCATGTAAAAACTCATTAAATGTATTAAAATAACACTAACCCTAATATATGTCAACAATAATTACACTAATTGTAAGTACACCATGTTCTGATTTCACAGAGAATAATTCAATCAAATTACATAGCTATTCATTTTTCTAAAAATTTTCCTTAATGACTTCTCACATTGAGCTGACATGTATTCACTAATATATTACAGTAAATGTTTTTAAATTTAAATTCTAAAATGAAACATATGTGAAAATGAAACATTTTTGAATATTAATCAATTTAATCTTTTTTTTTTTTTTTAAAATGCCAAATTATAGAAAAATAGTCAGGTTTAACCAATACTATTTTAAAATCATCAGTAGTTTAGCAGTGATTAATTTCATTAGAATAGTTTGGTTTTTCTTTTTTATTTCTTTTCTTAAAGCAACTTACTTATTTCTCATCTGGTACCCTGTTGTGTTCGCTGGATACAATTTGTTCGTTAAATGCACTTTTGAAGATAATTTAGGTAAATTTTGTGCATTGAAAAATGATCAAATACATCAAATAACAGGGTAACTTTATTACCTGATAGTGTATTTACATTTAGATTTTTTCCTTTCAAGATTAACATTATTACTAAGAAAAGTAAATGATAAACATAATTACTTATAAGATAATAAGATAGGATTTAGGTTATATTAATTCAGTTAAATTTTCAATCATGTGTCTAAAGAGTAAATGAATAATTACTAACATTGTAAATTATTTCAACTCCACTTTAATTTAAAAATTCCAATGAAGTTTTGATGATGAGGTTTTGCTTTCTATTTAGCATTTATAAATGATACAAGTATGGATACACAAAGAATCAAACCAAGTTTGTGCATAATTGCCTTATGTATACTTGCTATAATAGTCGGAAGTTTTCTACTGAAAATTATAGTAATGCATCCAATTTATTTTTACATTACAGCACTAGTAGCATTAGCATTTGCTGGTTATTATGTAACTACTGTTCATGAATGAGGTAACTGTTTATATAAATATTATACTCATGATTAATTATTATTTATTAATTAAGGATTCGGCAAATCAGTATTATTTATTGATGTTCTGATTCATAATACAGTTTTAAATTCTCTCAATCAGTGCAATACAAATTTTCCATAGTTTTATGAATGATATTGGAATTTATGAAGAAATATAAAGAAATTCCTACTAGTTTTTGTTAAAATTATCAATATAAATTTGATGGCATCTTTAAATGTGTAAAAACCTATACATTTTTTCTTACATCCCCGAATGTAATAATGTATAAAGAAATATACAACCAGCAAACCTCAAAATTATTGTCGTCAGATATTTTTTATGTGCATTCTTCTATGAATTTGCTATCACAATGTAGATAATACATAAAATCAGGGGATACACTTTGACATTGTATCTCTGAATCCAACAATTCCTAAATTTAAGTGTACCATTAAAAGGATTATAATTTGCTAGATCAGATGGGAACTATAACACATTGTCATTGTCTGAGCCTCATCACAGTCGAGTTCATTCTGCCAATCCACAGAAGCATGCAATTAATAAGATAGGAAGATATGGATGAAGTCATGCCACCTGATTCTGACGACATTGAAAATATTTTGGAAAACCTAAGAAAAAATAAGTTAGCAGGATCAGACAGGATTCCAGCAGAATTTCTCAAACAAGGGAAGAGTCGCCTTTCAGAGAAAATTACTAAATTAGTAGCAAATATTTGGGAAATAGAAAAAAAACCAGAAAGATATGAGGGAAGAAAGGGTGAGGGAAAGGAAGAGAGAGAAAAATTGCAAAGACTATCTTCCAGGGATAGCACATTGTAAGAAATGTTTAATTTATGGCAAAGGTATAAAGAAAATAAACGAATCTAAATTATTAAGAGTAAGAGAACTTAATTATAACTTTGGATTTCTTTTGGTTCAGCTGATGGTATATGGTTGTCCTAAGCAGTAAGCAGGAAGGGAGAAGAGGGAGGGAGAAACTCACAAATCTGGTCAGTGTGAGAGAAAAGGTGGAAGTGGATAGGAGAGGGGAGTGGACAGTAGGGAAGAACAAGGAAACTGATAAATAGTCTTATCTGTTATTTTTATCAAACCTGCCCTGTCCTCTCTTGTCTCCCGATCGCATCTTTCATTGTCCTCTTTCCAAAAATATACAGCAGCAACTCAATTCACGCAAGAAAACATTTGTCAGAATAAGATAATATTAATGGGAAATATACTTTATAATAAAACTTTTTGTAATATTTCTTATAGTTACAGGAAAAAAATGCAGTGAAAATGATAAAATCTTACTAAAAGCAATATGAGTGGGCAGAGTATAGCAGCGAGTCTGGCACAGGCCGAACAAAAACCAATTCCACAATTTCTAACCACTGTCGGAAGAAGTTCTGCGCTGTAATTGAAAACTATGGAAAAACCTCCAGATACACAAAACTTTCCAAGACAGGCTACAGCAGTAATAACATTGGACATGTCTAAAAAAAAAAAAAATAAATATACATACATATAGATACATATAATTAAAGCTATCCATAAAATTAAGTTCTAGGCGAATTGATTGAAGATGAAATATGAAGCAAATTAGTCTACTCTGGCATGTCTTGGTATTAAGGCCGTTATAAAGTCACTGAGTGCTAGAGCTTTTTATGTATTTTCGGTATGTTGCTTTAATATGTCGGTATGTAGCTTTAATATTCGGATATTAAGAGATGATTTTATTTTATTTAATTTATTTTTTCCTGTATCAAAACAGCCCATGAAGGGTCTTGGGTTCAGTACTATTTAGGGAAAGCACTGTTTCTTGGTCTACGGTTGTGCAAGGAGGTGATTTGACCGAGATCCCGCTCAAGAGATGATTTTATTTGACATAATTCTAGAGTTGTTAATTTATCATTTAAAAAAACTAAAAATGTTTGGATTAAATTAATACAAGATAAAAATCTGGTACGGTGCACACATCACACAACTTTCACTCACTACCCCTCTTCTAAGCAGAAATAAGTATTATCAGACTTAGGGGAAGTGAACATAAAAATTATAAACGCTATATTGATTTATATTTCATTGTGAATATTTTTATTTGTTTAAGTACCCTTACATATACAAATTTTAATATTTATATCGCTGTAATCTATACAATTAAATATTAAATAATACCAATGAAAACATTTAGAAAAACCACATATGTATATGTACATAATATTGTCGGAGTCCATATTATAATATACTCATGTTACTATGGAAGCCTGTTCTAATCTTCAGGTGAGCTTGGGCGCACTCTAGCATCCCTTCATTACAACTATTCTCTTATTTCTCCTTTAGTTAATTACCAAATTCATTCATATTTTATATTTAACTATTTTTTATGTGAAATGGTTAATTGTTTCAAATAAAAAAAATTAAAGGTACTATAGAGAAAGCTAAAATCAGCCATTTAATCCATGTTAGAGAACATCAACGAGAAGAAAACCTACATATTAATAAAAACTGCTTAATTTTACACTGATCTAATGAATTTAATCAAAATCTTTGGAGCCGTTTTTGAGAAAATAGTAAAAATGTGTTTCATTGATGCTATAAAGTGCCACTTCTGGTTAGCCAATTTTGACGAAAACGTTGCTATAACATCTCAGGTATATAAAAATCCTAAATATGCAATTGCACTTCATATGACTTTGTTTTTATATTGTCACATACATACAGACACATGCACACATAGACCATTTTACGGGACGGGTTATTTGGACTCAGGAGACCTCAAAACATGTATTTCTGTTGAAAACTGAGATTCGTAAATTTCCACGATCGCAATATTGTCCCTTACTATATATTTCAAATATAGGTAAGTGAAAGTAAAAAATGAGTTCATAAACCAAATTATTTCTATTACTGAATAAATTAATTTTGATTTATAAAATTGTTTATAGTAATTAGTCCATATAGCTGTAAAAAAGTAATACATCGGAGTATTATATACTTATATGTGTAATAATAAAAGTGGTGAGTATGAAGTGATGTTTGATTGAAGAATATTAACATTTCTACATCAATTTTTACAATATATATATATATATATATATATATATATATATATATATATATATATATATATATATATATATATATATATATATATATATATATATATATATATATATATATATATATTCAAAATTGCTAGAGAAAGACGATTTTTAATACAACCTACAATTATAAATTTATATATTTATATTTAATAAAAAGGTATAAATAAATTAATTAGGAGTAATTTGTATGATTAGAACATCTAAAAATAACAAACACTTCTATTTTAATATGTATTTTAGGAATTCATACATTGATTAATCTTAATATAGTTTTGTCTAACCAAGCAAATCTTTTCCCAGGCTGTCTTTCTTTTCTTACTACTTATTAAAATTAAAGAGTTTGATGTCTAATTAACATTTTACATTTAAAAAAATGTTATTAATTTCATTGAAATCATATAAAATATTAGCCAACTAGATTATGTCTATAATTACTTAATTTTCAATAATCAAAAAGAAACATTTGGTATTTTTTTAAAATTAAAATGATCATTCATGTTACAAAATATGCCTAGTTTTTCTATTAAGGTTTTAATAATTACCTTTTGGAATGAAAGCGACCACTGTACACGATACACCTCCGAGTAACAACATTATGCTGGTGAGTGATCTTCTGCCAGTTCTATCCAGCAGTAAGATCACCAATATACAACTTGGAATTTCAACCATTCCCAAGACAAAGAGAATAAAATAGGGATTCCCAACCATATTGTCACTAGCAAGAGATAGACCATAATAGGCGATACTGTCTGCAAACCTAAGTATAAAAAAAGTAAAATATTAAATATTTATACCAAGAAACAAAAACAGATATGTTTACAATATTTGACTATTGATTTTATGGAGTTTCTATAATCAATTAATCAATCATTAATCCTTTATTACTGTATATATATTCTTACATAAGAGTTAGTTAAAACAAACAGAATTTTTCTTCTAACGCTTTGAAGACAGTATACTGCTGGAGCAAAGTGAAATTTATAATTCAATAAATACAATGTTGATTTAGTTTTTAAAATATCGGTGATGAGATATTTTCTAAACCTGATGCCTCTGACTGGCCTCTTTCAAAATCATTGATTAAAAACAAAACAAAAAATAAAGAGTAATTTAAATACTTTAAAAATAAAATGAGGTACAATTTTAGGTATTATACATACCAAGTATACGATAGGGTAATCATCCTCTTCCTAAGCCTTGGTGTCCTGAATAAGTCAACGAAGCCTCCTGCTGAAGCTGTTTCAGTGGTCGATGTTTGTGCTTGACCTTTTGATACATAGTAAGCTCTGTCGACTTTGTCACCTCCATTGAATTTAACTGCTTTAGCCACTATGTTAACACTCTCTGCTATCCTTCCTTGAGACCAAAGCCACCGTGGAGATTCATCAATCAACCTATTTATTAATATAAATTATTAATTAATATTTTGAATCTGAACATAATAGGTTTTCGGCACATGGAAAGTTTTGAAGAATGATTCCCGTACAGGTTATACTAATTGCCATTCAGGATAATACAGGAATAAATCCATCAATATACAGTTCATTAAAACAACTGAAATAAAAAAGTGGATTTACAGGAAGAGACCAGAAGTCCAAGTTTAAATTTTCAGGGCTAATAACTACGGATATGGGCAAATGCTACTCTGAGTACTGAGTACCAAGTATTTTACTCAAATACTGACCTTTTTTAAGTACCAAAGAATTTAATTACTACTTCAGTTAATGTCAAACGATTAACTGAAGTAGTGAATGAATTCCCAATAGTGATTTAATTTGAGTAAAATAGTTGGTACTTGGTACTCATGTTAGCATTTGCCCATCTCTGACTAGACTCTAGTCAGACCCGACTAATTTCCCCAATTAGGAACACATCTGGAAATCTGTTTCTCTGTCAGCTTATTACAATTAATTTATATCAATCGATTCTTTACAATTAATTTTGAATATTTTTCTACAAGGAAAAAAATTGCAGTAATTGCCATGAAAGTTTCAGTATAAAAGGAAATGAAACAGACAAATTAAAAAAGGTATATTTAAAATTTCACTTATTTAAAAAAAAAAACATAACTAAAATTTGAAAAAAAAATTATTTGTTTTGTTATTAAAACACAAGTTCTGCCTTTATTCAAACAAACAAAATTTTTAAAAGGTTAAAATAAAATTAATTATTACTGATATTATGATTGTGAAGTATTAGATAAATGTTTACTTTTAGGTAAATATTTTTCAAGCTTTTACTAACATTTGTTTGCAATCATTGAGCTATAACAGAACATGTTTTTTATTTATTTTTTCCTATTAATCTTCCACAAACAAAAATAAACAATTTGTGGAGAAGAGGCATATAGATGAAAAGAACAGAATGAGCGTAATAATAATTAAAGAGTATGTTCCTTACCACCAGAGACTGAGGGTGGGAACTACATGTAACCCAATGACAACCTGAAGTGTGACATAGCTAGGGATGAAGTAAGCCCATAACGCAACTAACATAACACCAGTTGCAAACATAACAGTAAATACCAGGCCACATGATGTTCTCTTCGATGGTCCCACCAACTCCATTGCTAAGGAAGATATAAATGAATTTAATAATCAAAATTTCTCTACATAATAACAATCACTTTATTTGAATGATATTTTGATCTAAAATTAATATAATATAATAGTGCTTCATTATTAAGTGATCAAAATTCATATAACGAATTGTTCAATAATAATAGCACAAATAAACAATAGGTTGATGATATCCTCGGTTTGCTACAAAGAGTTAATAAGCTATGGATGGAGCTAAGTTTTTAAGATATAATTTATGAATTTTGATCTTATTTACCATTGCAAACACTCATTAAATACATCAAAATAACAATGGGTCTATTATACGTCAAAAATAGTCACATAAAGTGCATAATGATCTATTTCCATACAGAGAAAATGCATTGAATTATTTATAATTTTAATTTTATAAAATGTTACTTAATGACTTTTGGCAATAAACTGATGATATGTTCTAAATATGAAAAATGTAAACCTTCCTCTCCCCACCCAAAAAAAACAAAAACAATCATTAAAGTAAAAATAAAAGACAATCACAGAATAACCAATTAAAAGCTTTTTTTTTTTATAGAACAGTACTTCACTCGCACATTAATAGTAAAAAAAAAGTATCCTTAATGTACTATTATAATTGGTATAATCTTTCGGATGGCTAGTTACTTTTTAATAAATATATAATATATTTTTAGGGATGCTCATAGTAGTAACTGTTGTTTGAGTGACAGAATCTACAGAAGTATTTATAAAATTAAAAAATTTCGGGACTCGGGTTTGAATATTTTGAAGTGCTCAATCAATCAGAATATAAGTTTTATGGCATAAATGGAATAGTTAATTATGATTCTCTGGAATAAATTTTGTATCCATTCAATTTCTTTATTGCTTGAATTACATAATTTTAATAAAAACCCTTATGATCAATGCTGGCCATAGACATTTCGCTTTCCACGACAATAACATCATCATCATCATCCAAAGAATTTAATTTATTTCTTTAACTTTTTTATATGAAGTAGTATTGTTTTAATTTTATTAAATTCAATATGTTTCTAATTTCAGGCACTTTGTTAATGCCTCAATAATTTTTCTTCTACACTTAATAATTTTTATTTTATTTATAACCAGTGGCCGGCACCACCTTCCAGGAAATACAAATCAGAGATTTTATTATCAAATTAAGGTAGGTAATCTTGTGTTTATATAAGGCCAAAGCATTTTGTTTAAGCAAATTTAATGATGAGTTTGGGGCCATTTTCTTCTATTTTAACTTATTTTTTAGATATTTGTCATGTTTTTAAATATATATCAGAACCTACCAATGACAAAGGCTGGTATATACGAACCAGCTGACCCAAACATGCCGTAGATAAATGATGCAACCAGGTATGCATAGTAGTTATTGACGAATGCAATACCAATACTAATGATGAGCTGTATGGTTTGTGTCCAACACTGCGCCTTTTTACGTCCATATCTGAAAAAATAATACATCGATTTAGCATCCTCAGATTATGGCAAATTCTGCCTGGAACATCAATTTGCCTGGGAGGTGTCTATGTTTTTAGATTTTCTTTTTTTGATATTTTTTTATAATTTAATACCTATTTCATTTGAAAAATTCTTTCTCAAGTTACTTACTTGTCTGCAAAATACCCCACAGTGAATGAACCAATAAAGACACCTAACATGAAGAAAGATTTAGACAAGGCTCCAAGCCACTTCTTGTCACAGACCAGGTCCCACTAGTAACAGATGAGTAGTATTTTTTTTTTCTTTTATAGTCTAAATTTGTGCAAAAATTTACTTGTTTTAATTTAAAAATTTAAAATTATCATTTGATAAACAATAAATAAATACCTTTAACATTAAAAGCATGATCCCTCACCACACTACTTAGATCATGGATTAGTGAGGTTAACAATTGAACAATATTTTTCAATTAAAAAACAACATTATAATGAATTTTTTGAGGACATTTAGGTAGACACAAAACAATGGTAAAAGGGCTGTTGAAAAGACACCTCTATTCACGTATGTTGATCCATCATAAACATTTCCTTTCAAAGCATTATACATGTAAATAAGATGAAATAGTATGGCACATGCTAAACTAAGGACAATTACTGTTCTTATTTTTTTAAAATAATTACCTCAAAACTTTGGTTATTAATTTAATAAAAATATCAGTAAATCAATAAAGTGTAATTCCCTTTTAGTTTAAATAAAAAGAGGTAATTAATACATTTTCCTAATTAATGATGTTTTCAACTATCCATCAATTTTTTCTTAATTGATGTCGAAAGTCCTGGCAACATCTGGTATGGATGAATACAATTTCATGGATAATTTATGGTCAAAAATAATGATTACTATTCACTTGATATTTTAGGATGGTAATGAACTTGTATTAAGGTACAATTTTTTGGGTGCTTTTTGCATCAATACAATCTCATCCTAATAAAATTAAACGGTTAATTAAAACACACATAGTTAAACATACAACAATAAGCAAAGTTAAACAAGTTAATGTAATATTAATGCTTTATGAGTATCTTTTAAGTGAGACGATGACAATTTCTACAACTAATAAGTAAGCATAAGTATAAATATCTCTAATATTTATATAATACAATGCAAATAAAACAAAAGCAGGCAAAGCTGATATATAACGGTACCTCTACAGTTCTTGTATCCTTAAAATGTGTCCTATCATAGACCCATTTGTCACAAGCCTCAGTAAGATTAGTGGTTGGGTTGATGAGGAGGCAGGAGCTGTATGTGCCGTCGGGGTTCAAAGGGATCGCAGCCAGTGCAGTTGGTGAGTCCCAGGCTAGGTTTGTACCATTTTCGAGCCATGGCACTTGACATCTGCAATAATTTCATATGAGTAACATGAGGATAAGAAACTTATTTCTCAGCAAATACCAACTAGATAATTGTTTAATAAAATGTTATAACAATTAATTTTTGCTACCTGTGATTAGGTATTCCATTGATAGGGACAATTGACAATGTATGCATCCCTGTAGTAAATGCTGTTAGCATCAATAGGATGCACTGGTATAACTGGTACTTCCCGAACTCACCTAGAACATAAAAAAAATCCAAATTAATGTAAAATATTGTTTAATCATCATAATTGATTTCTTCACATTATTTTATAATTTCTTTTATCACTAATGTAAGAAGGAATGTTGTATTATTAGCAACATTGAAAACATCATTACAAATAAATTCAGGATTTTCAAACTTAAAGTTTAAAGTTTCATTTTAATATAACTGACTATTTGAAGTATATAATAGTGACTATTGAAATAATATAAGTGACTATTCAATCCCAGAAACAGAATGGCTCCATATATATAGTGATGGTTCTGCACTGGAAGCACGAAAACATGCCGGAGCTGGAGTTTATTCAAAGGAGTTTCAACCTGCCGCCCCGGTTGGAAAGGTAGCCATAAACTTTGAAGGGGAAGTGAAAGCCATTCTCTTGGGCCTTGAGAGATTGATTGAATGGAAAGACAAGAAAGTTGCTTTCTTTGTTGACTCACAGGCAGCCATTTTGTCTCTCCAGAATAGATATAATATGAATCCAAATGTCCTTAAATGCCATCTATATTTGGACCGATTAAATGAAAATGGGACAGAAGTCGCTTTCCAGTGGATACCAGGCCATTGCGGACTCCACGGAAATGATGAAGCTGAGAAACTGGCCTGAATAGGTTCTGGAATGATCCAACCAGATATTCCACTGGGCATGGATTCAACGAAAAGAATTATAAAACAGACCCTCCAAAGTTCAGTTCTGAAGGAGAAATATGAGCAATCATTGATATAAATCAATGTCATAATACTTTTAATAATGACCTTTAATTGAATTCATTACACTGTAATTTATGATATACATCTCTAGTTATTTGGACACCACTGCTATAATTAATATGCCCTAATTAATGTATCATTAAATAAGAGTGGTTACCATTAAACGATATATTATGTAGAGCTTAAAAGTAAAGTTCAAAGACCAGAAATACATTTTAAACCATACAAACATAGGTAGACTGAAACATTCCCCCAGAAGTTAAATAACTACTAAAACTTCATGAAATTTTTTTTTCAATTTGTTTCCATTAATATAGTAAATTTTGACTAAAAGAAATGAGCCAATAGACAAGTATTTTGACCATATTTCTATTCTGTGATTCATAGCATAACGAATACCGATAAGAAACACAATTACTCCAATTCCCATGAATAATGTAATATTTATTCAGAGTTTCTCTCACAAAAATTGCCTCTGTATCCGCTCCTACTTATGAATATATTACTGACAGGAAGACAATAGTGTTTCCTAAGGGTAAGTGGAAACTCACTGGAAATGTGGTGCTTCAAATTTTTCCGAACTTATCAAAATACCTAAGTAATGTAAGGAATGATGGAAAACCTACTCCAAGACACCCCAATCCAAAGATGAACAAGTCCATTTCTGAAAATAATTATAATTTTGAGCCTGATAAGCCTGCCGTTAGTTCAAAAGCAGGAGGTAATAAAACCATGAAAAATTTCATGATAGTGAAAACGAAATTCTTTTTTAAAAGGAAACTGAATTAATAAAACACAAAAGTAGTTCGCAAGAGCTCAAAATTACAAATCAAAAGCAAAATAACAATTTTCTGACCTTGAAAATCAGGTTTTAGAATTATAACAAAATTTAGTCAGTGTATCCTAGTTCACTGAAACAGGAAAATATTTGATAAGTAATATTGTTCAAAGTCTTAATATTTTAAATGCACCTTGAATGTCCCACAGACGCTAGTGTATCTAGGATTTAGTTTTTGGGAGATGGGGCTTCAGCCCGAAAGATTTGTTTAAAAATATATAACGATAATTACTTAGCAAGAAAAAGAAAGGAACTAACTATCTATATGAAATTGAGTTTAAGTGATTCTTTAGGTACTATTAAATATAATTACACAAAGAATAATACTTTTAGAGGTAATTATTAAATATTTTTTTAATAAGACAAAGTTATATTTTACTATTTGGAGGGAGGAGGAGTTCCAGCCCGAAAGCCCTCTCCCTCCCCCCGTAGATCCGCCTGTGCCTACAGAAATAGTGTAAAATTAAAAAGTATTCCTTTCTTAAAGGTTACAGGTACTCTTATTGTCGAGAGTAGGGTTCGCATCCTTTGTCACCCATTAGATATTCGCGAAAAATAACTAAGTGTCTGAAATATTCTGCAATTTGATAAGGAAACAATAGGCATTCTAATAATTATAGATGGAATAAAATGTTTACAGGAAGTAAATATGGTAACGTTTACAGTAGTAATCTGCAGGTTGGTGATTTTATTGATTTTGGTCGGCTCATGGACTGATCATACTGCTCATTACTTTCATATACTTATATATGAAATATCTAGTAAGGGAAAATATTGCGATCATGGTAAATTTCGAAATCGAGTTTCAACGGAAATACATGTTTCAAGGCCCCCTGGGTCCAAATAACCCAGTCCCAAAAACAGGTTTGTGTGTGTTTTGTGGACAGCAAAAAAAAAGGGAAGAAAAAAAAGACGAAGTAACTACTACGTAGTTGGGTCAAGTACATAAATGCTTTGGATGTTATAGAAATTTTTGCGAAATTCGACTACCTGCAAGTGGTGTTTTATTTAATTAATTTTACATATTTTAAAAATTATCTCAAAAACTGCTATAAATATTTTGACTAAACACTTTATATCAATGAAGAATTGAATGTTCTTTTAATGTCAATCAGCTCTTATCCACATGGAAATGTCGAATTTTCTAATTTTTTTTCCAACATAGTATCTTAAATTTTGTTTATTTAAAATAATTAATGGTATTTTATAGCTAGTACTGCCAAATGAATAAATATGAGCTGGAAATTTGCTAATTAATCAAAGGAGAAAACGGGAGTAATGTTTTCTCAGATTCAAAACGAATTTTCTTCAGTAAGAGTAGCAATATGGACGTTGGGTAAACGCTTTAAATTACACGTTAAAGAGCTTCGGTTTTTATTTGTCTAAAAAATAATAGTAATCGTGAGGTATAACTAACAATAATTACGATATAACTAACATGAAATAAGGATAAGGCTGAAGTTACCTAACTTATACGAGGAATGAGCCATTATTTGTACTGGTGGGGAGAACTAGTTCGACAGATAGGCTTTTTTGCCAACATCCTCATCCTCGGCTCACAAATAGAATTTTTCATTTAAGAAAATATAAAAATCATAAGAAACTGTTTTCTGATAGCTTTGTTTGAGCTTATTGCAATATTTTTGAAATATCCACAGTTCGGTAAATTGTAAAAATTATCGTTAAACAAGTCATAGGTCTGTCGAATTTTGAATATAATTAATTGGATATTTTGCTATGTTATAATGAAATTTAATTAGCTTAAGAACTGATATCAGTAACATTTATCACATGATATTAAGTTTATCTTTAAGTATTTATTATGTAATAGTGTACTTGTCGGACACTCAGATTACGAATATTTGTTTAGAAAAAAAAAATAAACAATCGAATATACAAGTAAATGCTTTTCTATCTGTATATATATATAAAGGGAATAAAGAACGCGCTAATTAATTTGGTGATCACCGTATATCAAAAATTACTTTAAATGCCAATGAACCTGAAATTGTGAATAGAGGTTATGCTGTAAATGTTCTCTGAGCCTGCTTTAATAAAAAAAAAAAAAAAATGATATGTTATATATAGGTGGTTAAAAAATAATTATTTGCTAGGCATCCATGTTTTTTGCAAAAAGAAGAAGAAGAGGACAAGCGCAAGGAAGACATTCAGATTCAGGAAACTAGTCCGAAACCGATAAGCAAGAAGGAAGAAGATAGAACAAAAGAATTGCTATCTGTATGTACATCCTTGCTCAGTTAACTATTATTTATTACGTCTGTATTAAGCATCCATGCCTAATAACAGACTATTGCAAACACCAGTATTGCCATAGTGGCATGGGAGGGTGGAATATACAAATAAATAAATTGTTAGAAATTAATAAAAAATACAAAAGTTATTAAAATAATTGATTTTAGCCTATCAATAAAGCAACTGTATTAGAGAAATGTTGAATGAAATGAAATTCAAATATTACATAATTTAAAATGTCTTAAGTAATAAATTGTACTGAGCTTCCAATGCTAAAGGTCTCAGGTTCGAACCTCGGCTCATGGCAGAAAATTTATTTATCTGTTTCATTGGCCGTGGGGAGACCCTTCTGGGGCACCAGCCTCTATAAAGTGGGTACTCTTAATTAAATAATTAATTAAGGAAGAAAACTTGGCCGTTGAGCGTGATCTCGGTCAAATCACCTCCTTGCACAACCGTAGACCTAGAAACAGTGCTTTCCCTAAATAGTACTGAACCCAAGACCCTTCATGGTTTGTAGTGGTACAGGTTTTCTTCTTTTTTTTTGAAGTAATAAATTAAATTTATTTTGGGGAGGGAGGAGATGACGTCATTGCCCGGGGGTGCCGAATATATTTTTTCAGTGATTGGTCCATTAGGCTTTCCACTTAATTTCTGATCTTGCTCCCAGCAAATCAGATAAATTTGTCATATTCTCATCAAGTTTATGAAACAATTATATATAATCTAAGTTTAATGTTCGACAAACATTACACAATCAAGATTTATGCCTATTTCATATATTTTCAAAACTGATTAATTTCTTTTTTAAAAAGAAATTAGAGATCTGCTGAAAAGTTAAGAAAATATCAGGAATTCAAAAAGATATAATTAACGCCAACACATTTGCTTGATGCGTTCCAAAGCATTGGTATTTAAATTTAAAATAACAAAAATAAATAAGTAAAAAAACCGTTTTCATATTTTTTTTTTTTTATGTCAACTTAAAATTTTATTCCTACAATTTCTTAATTTTTTTAACCCAGGTATTACATAAAGAATTTTAATAGGGACATATATTAATGTAATATGACAAGGAAATGAGAAACATATATGAAAACAATGTTTTTTTAAGGAGTCTTTCGGCAATCATAGTGTCTCATCGATCATACACGAAGAACATTTAAAAGCGTTGATGATGTTGACACAGCTAATGACTTCTGTAAGGTCTTACGTAGAAGAATTAGCCAAAAAATTTCTTGCTTATTCCTTTCAAATTTTCTCGGTCTCTGGCAGGAAATGAAAGCCTTAAGAATATATGGAATAGCACTGGGTGTTAAGCACGAGTTATATGTCATATATGTATATTTTAATGAAAAAAAAATCATTAGGAAACTGACGTAATATGAAGTCGAGGAGGTTTTTGAGCACTCTGATGGAGAGATCTAGTACAAGAACATTACCCATTGCCTGACAGCAAATTTGATTAGAGAAATTATTTTGAAAAACTAGGTATCTAGATTTACAACAAAGAGAGAGGGAATGAAAATATACTATATAATGGACGGTTAAGGGAAGTATTGCTATGTTCCTGGCCTTGCTTTTCTACGGCGAGTAGGGGGTTCCAGGAACCGCATTTATTTGTATTTAATACTTATATTGGTATTTATATCGGTCCCAGAAGGGAACTGATCTACCGAAAAATACCCCCTACTGTAGTATCCTAGATTGAACCATATAATTTTGATTGGATTTCTTTTCTAGAGGTATCGTGTTTTTAAATTTACTATTTGTTCCATATCTAATTGGTGGCATGCAAGGTTGAATGTAAAAGTACTAAGATGGTTTACTAACTAATATATTTACAAATTTAAATAACCAAAACATATATACAATGATAATGAACAAACCTATATACATAATAATAGTTGAGAATCATACTAGAGGAGAATGCTTGATGTTTGATTAAAGTTACCTGTGTTATTGATTTATGGTTGCCAACACAAGTTTACATCTGTATAACTAAATGAGGGTTATCACCTAACTGGTTCATTATCATCTTCGAGTCTCCTTCCATGTCGCTCTCCTCAGCCTCTGTCTTCCTCCTAGTGTTCAACCGTCCTAGCCTGATCCCCAGCAGAGTCCCAGCTATCAGTCCATATCTTGCTCTCTCCGCCTCTCCTGATCAAGTCCTTCCTCGCTTCCTTCCCAGCTTGAAGTCTCCTCAGCTGAGTCCCAAAAAGAAGTGTCTTAGTCCTAGTCCTATATTTCCCACCTTTCTTCATCCCCCTCTCTTTTGGTAGTCTTCTCTGATTGGCTGAATATTCCTAGCCTAAGGGATGACCATGCCCTCTCCCCCAGGCCAAGGTAAAGCAGCAGGTACAGGTTTATGTATTTCTGGTGGAAGATGGGTGAAAGGTCTTTCGGGATCCTGTTTAAACACTCAGTTGTCGGTCTTGGTCGGTGGTTCTTAAGGGTTTTTATTACCACTTACAAAAGGCTGTCCTCGTGGGTCGTTACTCTCGCTCAGGTAGCACCAGATGTGGGCACTTATGATATTTATTTATTTATACCTTTAAAATAATTAAATGAATACCACCGGCGGTCTTTACAATACATAGCAGTATATTGTTCTAAAACAAACTGGTGTCTTGAATTAGAACTATAAAACAAAAATTGACTTTTTCTCCGCTTTCGGAAAATCATAGATGACAGTCTTAGATTTGAATCTACTCATATTGAGCTGTGGCGTAGTTACTATGCTGTTATAAGTATAATTGATATTATCAAAATATGAGTTTCACGGATTTCCTACTTTCCGTCATGAAGATTCTTACAAATCAAAATACTTACCTCAAGCACATCTGCGTCCGTTGCGGAGAGCGTGCGGTATGCGGAATACTTCTGTACCATTAAAATATTTAAAATTTGATGAGGTTGGCCGCTATAGAGAAGTGTCCGCTGTGAGAAGTTTTACTATGTATTACAGTCACTCTTCTCTCTAATAATTGAGACAGAACGATGCCCATGCTCTATGTAGTTCAGAAAACTAATAACTCCAAAGATTTTGATGGCACATCTTGCGCTATGAAAAGCCTTTCACGGTTTGGCCATTTGGAGAAGATATATCCACAAATGATGGATTCCGTTTTATTTCGTAAATTGTTTGAATTCTTGCAAGCGAACCATCTGTTATCGCTGACTTTAATAATGCTTCAAAAAGACCAACTGCCAAGTCTGATAAAAGGATCCCTTGATCGATTGCCTGTGCCCAGGTTCGATATAGATATCATCAGCATTACTGCAGCCCATTCGGTTAGTGCATCCTCTACAATGAGGAAGTCGTGTCCATGTGATGTTAGTGCGGAATCGACGTGGGTACTACTGTCACGGATTGTCCAGATGCCTGGCGTGTGTCATTTTTGTAGGCTGTTCCAAAACATCTATTCGAAGCTAGGTAGATAGTTCCTTCGAATGGTGCCTTCAATGTCTTTGTCGGTGCGGTGCTCTTCCACCATCCCGTTTTGTCACGTTTCATTATAAAAATCCAATCCACATATTAACAAGACTATATTAAAGTATTGTTTGTAATTAATGTAATTTGTAAAACGGTTGTGATAATAACATATCACTGGCAGTACATGATCGTTACAGACTTTTTTGCCGTATTTATATATAATTTTATTTTATGCTGTATTTATATTTATGATAAATCATGACAAAAAAAAAAACATCATCGTAAATATGTAATCGACATTAATTTTTAGAAATTTTTTTTTCGAACTCAAGAGTTTTTTAAATAGATTAATTGTAAATAAATGGATTATTTGAAGTTATAATTTTAAAATTTAATACAAATATCTGTATTACTCGATACAGAGGTGTTCATTCCCCTTCCCCTCCAAAGTCGATGGCGCATGAATCCCTCATCCCTAGACATTCTATTGCTCTCCTGTTCTTAAAAAAGTGCAAGAGAAAATAGAATTAGAAAGATCGCAGATCATATACCTATAATTTCACTTAATATGGATTGATCTATGTTTTTAAAACGTTCCATTTTCATTCCCTAAAAAATTCAAAACCCCGTCAAAATTTGCCCACCTCAACAACGTTGTTCTTGTTGAATCTGGATCTAAAATGAATTTTGTAAACTGTGAATTGAGCGAAAGACACATTATACTTCATGAGATAACGAAACGCAATATATATGTCTCCATCCATCATACCACTATCTTGCTATTTTTTTGGGATATGGAATATCAAATTTATCGGCTTGTGCTTGGGAACCTAGATGCTTGGCTTACAAGATCGGTATTAATGATGCGTATGTCATTGTATGCACTATGGGTCAACGAAAACCAGTGAATGAATGGCTTTGGTCGCTGAAGAATCGGTGTTCGGACTCTCGTTCATATCAAGCGATGATGTCAATGATCTAGGGAATACAATGCTATGATAAATCCAGTCCTGATATACGGCAGGGAGACCTGGACACTGGTAAGCATCCTAAAAAGAAATATCGAACGATTTGAGAAATCCTCCTTACAAAACCCGTGACTGAGAGACGTAATCCAATATTTGAAGTTAACAACTGGATTCCCTTACTGTCACATCACAAATCACTTGTGTTGAAACTCTTGAAGGGTATATGTGGTTAGCAATACTTCAAAACTGACCGTATTCACTGAAAATGAAGTTGGAGATGAAATAGAGTCAACGAAATCAAATAGAACAAACCTAGCTGACAATTGCTAATAATAACCATTAAGTTCGCCAACGTTGAAGTAATTTGATTGAGGTATTAAAGAAATAATAGTTATTGGCTAATTTTATGTTGCATTGAATTCATTTTCTTAGAGGATGAGAAAACAGTTTCTATAATAGAAACCAGATACTTGAACTTATTTATTAATTTTTTTTCTAGACATGAGATTTTCCTTAGTAATCTATGTTATGCTATAATTTTTTTAAGTGATATATTTAAAAATAATTAGCAAATGTTGAAGTTTTTTTTTCTCGTTACTGAAGTTTTGTTTCTACTACTAGTTTCTCCCTTATAAGAATGCCAAAGGTGATCTTACATTCATTTTCTTTTCAACATTCTAATAATTTGTTTTACAAGAATTTTAGTAATGATTCTCGATTAGACCATTTAAAGTTATTTATTTTGAAATCTTTTGCAGATGGCTTAAAAACTGGAATAGGTCGATGTGGAGTGTTGAGGTGCTTACAAAAGTGTTTCATTTCTCCAGGTTTTAAATATAAACAATTTTTAACTGCCTCAAGTATACGCCTTTGCTACTAGTGGATTCAAGGGTGCAGGAGGAACTTTCGGGCTGAAATCCACCTCAAAACAAAAATAAATCTTGGTTGTTTTCTTTATAATTAATTTGTTGGGAAGTTTTTGGTCATAGTAGTGTGGTTGGAAAATATAACTTCCTTGTGACTTTTTTATACTTACTATATTTATCGCATATCATTACCTGCCAAACATTTAAAAAATTACTGCATGTGCAATAGATTCACTAATTCAAATGTAAAAAAAAAGTTTTGATCAGTGACCTTCAAAACTTCCCGTGAGAACCGTGAGTAATAAAAACTTAATAGGAATTTAAAACAGTGAATAAATAGTTTTTGTAATAAAATATTGCATAATTTGGATGGTAAAATATACATTTTTTTTTTTTTTTTGTGATTTATCCGCATACTAGACTGAAATGACAAAAAACTGCTCGACGTTTCCGACTGCTCCAACACTTACCAGACAAACGCTCTAAACTTTGAATTAATTACAAAAACCCATCTACTTAACCATAATAAGACCTATATGGACAAACGGAGTTGAGCTTTGGGGTTCTACCAAACCATCGAATACCTATCGTACTCAAACCTTACTATCCAAAATCCTTCGTAAAATCCTTAATGCCCCATATTTTGTCACAAATGAAACCATTCATAAAGACCTTAATGTTCCATATGTCGCTGATTTAGCCCGATCCTTTCATGATAAACTCCAGTCCCACCCGAATCCACTTGTTTCCTTCCAGCCTTGCTTCTTCTTCGATTCCTGATAATGTTCCTAGGCGTCTGAAAAGAAGATGGCCACGTGATCTTCTCACCTAGAATTAAATAGGGTGTGCTACCACTGGGCAGTATCTCTTCAAATCTGTTCACGTCATTATTTCCAATGTATGCATTTTTTCTAGTTGTATTGTTTATACAGTTGTAAATTTCATTAAATAAATAAAAAATATATCATTTTGTGATTTTAAAAAAAATACATAAAATATTTCATGTCTATTGAACAATTATGGGTTAGGTAATCTGAAAAGAGAAATATAATATGAAAAGACTGGTAGAGAAACTACCCATTAGTAGCAATCTAAAATAATTTCTTCATTAGGAAATCACAAGGCTATCTTCTTTTCAGAGGGGTGTTATCAGGGATCAAAGAACACGAGACGAGA